AGAACAGCAAGGATTCCCAAGGATCCAAGCTCTCCATGCAGAGGAGAAACAAAAGCAAAATACACAAGTGACATATTCTAACATTTGGGTTTGTCACTATTTCTGATAAGAGAGAATGTGTTACCAACACTGGAGAGCAAAATCAGCCTACGTGTTCAAACCTGGACGGCTAGAGTCATTGCCAAGTTAATACATTAGACTTCAAAACAATGCACTCCTATGCATTTTTCCTTAAAAAACCCAAAAAACCTCAAAAGTTAATATTTAAAAGCCTGATTATTTAAACCAAAGGAAAATGAGTGCTAAAAACTTTTAAGCACTTGACAGTATCTTGAGATAATTCCAGACAATTATTACACAATCCAGGCTGACTTTTATATCATTTCTCTTTTACAAATGTTATATGTAGAGAAAAGGAAGACTGGCTTCAAGCAGACAGCTGAGGTATTCTTGTGTGAGGTGCGTGTTTATGCGATATGCACATATCGGCTAAGAAATGTATGACCTATGCCTATATATTGCATGAAGTCAAAACACTGAACCTCGCTTCCTATTACCAGCATTACCGGTTACTGAAAATTGCAGTAATTGCAACTAATGATATCTGTGCCAAAAGCAAAACAGCAAACCAACCCCTTCAGTTCACTGCCTACTTGATTAGCAAAAAGAAGTAGAATAAAAATATTATGCACTGTTCAACAAGTTTCAGAAACAGGAATGAGTATCCAAAGCTTTTACCAGCTGAAGAAAGCAATCGTGGATAATCATCAAGACTTTTTCTTTAGACAGCTGACAGTTCTCTGACCAGTCCTTACACTGCAAAAGCACACAGAGAATGCCCCATAGGGAATCACGGCGTTAACCTAAGACACCTGAGCAGCCACTTGCTCACTGGAATTGACAAGACAGGCATGGCCCTCGTCACTGCACAGGTTCAGTCCTGCATGAAAAAATTAAGGTCAATGTATTATAGGCCTATAACGAGACACCAGTTTGACTTTGAGCTCTCTTTTAGTCTCCTATTCCTTTTCAGAATATTCCTCTCTCACTTAACATATTTATAAAATTGGAGGCACATATCGCTAGTTGGCCATTAGACCCTTTTAAGAAATTGGAATAATAATTTTCTTCTTACCAGAGTTTATGCCTCTTAGTGTTCCACAAAAATGTCCAATTCATTATGGAAAAATTCTGTTTACAGTAAAGAGCCTGTACTGTAAGTCTTGCTTCGTCTACATTCTCATCAAAAAGATTTTTTTTGCAGCATTACAGTCAACCATCGCATAAATCTCACTGTAGTAAGCAGGACTTATGGGAGTTTTGCCCAAGCAGGACTACAGGATCAGGCCTTGTAATATGGAAAAGAAACAGAATCAGAATTAGGGCATAGAAAAATTAATCACAGAATCACAGAATCACAGTGATTATTTTTATGGTAGGTGAAGAGATCAGAGTAAATCAAAGCAAAACAGGCCTCGGCTCACTATGGCAAATGAATTCCAATAAACAGGATGCAATAGCTGAGACTGTTCCCATCTATATGTATATACACACATATGTATGTATGTATATATGTTTCTATATAATATACAGTATCTATATAAGTATATATAGATACACTTATGTACAAATGCATATTTATATATGTAAAATAAAAATCGTGTTTTCCCAGCTATAGTTAATATCATACTACTAAAAATTGTAAATTATGAGGCTCTTGCAAGTCTTTTTCAGACGAAAAATATTTCAAGCTATTTTTAAACATATAGGACCAGATCTCCCCTTTATCTCAAGACTGTTTAGTGAGGTATGCGAGAAAGCTTGATCTCAAACATGCAGAATTCAAGACAAGAATATGTCCAAATTTGCTGTAAACTTTAGGGTGGAGGTTATCAAGCAATGAAAAACTCCAGAAGAGTGGGTGGTTCAACACAAGTTATTCACAATTGCTCCTCCATTCATGTCTTCATGATTTTCTCACTAAATCCCGCTGAATCCACAGCGAAAAGCAGCTGGGGCTATACAGTCCTTTTACCTTTCTCTGCACTGAAAGAAGCCTGGGTCATCGATCATGACTTCTATCTCTTTCTCGGTTTTGGCATAGTTTACTATTTTTACATTGGCAAGTAGTTCAAGTACAAGTGAATTTCTACAGCATTGATTTATTTTACATAGTAATGTGTAACAATGGACAAGTCTGTACTTTGAAAACAGCATAAAAAAAATCCTTAGGTGTTATATTCTTTCTCATCTGTAAACAATTACCTGTTTCTGGATCCTGCTACACTTGGGAAAATATAAACACCTCAACTTCAGCATTTCAGGCAAGAATACATAAAATGGCTACCTATTAAAACTGACCATGTCAATGTAAGAATAAGTGTACAAGACCATAATAAATGCTTTTCAGAAATAAGGGAGAGGGGAGGAAAAATAATCATAGGCTGCCACACCACCTTAACAAACAATTCCAGCAGTGACCAGGGCAAAAATATCACAATGGGACCAAATTCTCTTTACGGTGTACCGTAAGGAAACATGAGGAAAACAGGAAGGAAAAGATGGAATTTGTTGTTGTCACACTCATCTGTTAGGTCTTCATTGACTGTCACTGCTCCTATATGACGAGTATTCATAACAATTAAGAACTGACATGATGAAATAAAAATGAGTAACCACAAGCCCTATTTGTAATAAAAAATAAAAATACCTTAGAGTCTCTGTTCTTATTCCGTATGCAAGTGCACACACAAAATTATAAAGCAAAATAACAAGCTGCAAGACAAAACACTGGCTGGTTGAGAAACCAGCAGTCTTTCAGTCTTGTAACAAGGTATAAAGGCTATTAGAGTTTGTGCACTCCAGAAATTTTTGGAGGGAAATAGAAGATGTAACGCCAAAAGTATTCAGGAACTAACAGAAGGGGAACTGTATTATTTGTGGTCCATAAATATAAATGAAAAATGAGAAAGAATGAGTTTATATAAGCATATACATATATGTATATATATATATAAATATTTATATTATATAATTTACCATGAGGACATGCAATTATTGGTATAGCACCTATTATACAATATAATACAAAGGAATAAGACTTTCCAATGGTACAGTTTCTTCAGAAAAAGCAGGTATACCCTACCTATTGCATTCATCTGTAGTGCTTGAAACCTGAATGAAATTAAGGTTCCACACTGTGCTACATTACGTATGGGAAACAATATACATATTCATAGTAAGAAAAGAAAAAAACCCCGCAACATAGTCTGACAAAGCAAGTGAAATTCAGTGCAGCTTCAGGGCAGCTTTAATGCAGCATTAGAATGTGTTAGCTCAGAGACAAAATACTCCCTTTTTAATCCAAAGGTATTCATTTGGCAGAGGTTAAATAAAAAAGCACAGATGCTGGCTGGAGAGGCATATGACTACAGCAAGCAGATCAGTAACTGACAAGTCTCCTATGCATCCAGCCTCCGCACAACAGGAATAATGACGGAGAGCTGGCTGCATCTTTCTCAGGCTTGCGTTCTTGTGTGTTACCATTCTGGCCCACTATTCTCTTCTGAATATAGCAAAAGGTGCTGTACCATTACGTTCCCTACAGAGATCCTGTAAAGCACAAGAGATTATTAAGTAACTACCAAACAAAGTTGGGAAGGAATTAGACACCATGGACTTTACTGACAGACAGCGAAGTTTGGCTATCAAAAAAACATTTGGGCAAAAGAAGGACAAGAATCCAACATTAAAAATATCTCAGATTGCTTTCTGTATATTTTGCTTTGATGACTAATACTCTTATCCAGCTTTTGTACCAGTGTTATGTATATTTCTGTCACCTATAATGTACTAAGTTCACAAAATAGACAATCTGCTCATCTCTGTTTCACCTTTCATGTTTGTAAAAAACAACTGACCAAAAAAGCAAATCTTGGTTGGTAATCATCTCTGCACAGGAAGATCAGTGGTTTAAGTGATCCATAACTAACAGAAAAACAAAAGCCAGCAATAACAAGGGTTCTTTTTGCAGCTGAGTTAAGGGAGAAAAGGTACTTCTGTTTTCTGACTTGTTTTCTAACTTATTTTCTAACTTACGTTGCAATTTATTGTAAATCTGCAACATTCAGTGAAGTGCAGACATCTCCTCCTTTCTCTCATTTCCTAGACAGCAATGCTTTTCCAAATTCTACCTAATGCAGTTTGAAGAACCCCACTATGACCCCCAAAGAAGTCTATGATGTATGATGTAGAACTGAGAATTACCTTCTTGAATCCAAATTAGTACTAAACAAATTTCTAAAGAATATAGCTATAAAAACATTTTGGCAAATGTTAATTTTTAGAATGTCACCAGTGTCAAGAAGGGGCAAGGTATATGATACTCCCTTAGGTAAAAAAACTGTGCAATGATCGACAGGGGACAAGATGAGCACTGAGTGACTCAGAGATGTGTGCAGCTCAAAATGGAAGAGACTTAGAAGGTAGAAATACCATCATCTTATAAACTGTGTGCTTTTTTAAAACTGCAAAGACATGCTTGAGCAGTACTTATCTCCCAAGTGGTGAAGTCATTTTGGGAATAACTGTTCCAGGTTTTCTGACCTACTCCTTGAGTATGTAAGGCCTTAAATAATTAGACCAAATCTTCTAGCTAGGTAAACTAAGAACAGAAATAAAAACCATTTTAAAATACTCAGAGATATTTGTTACTCTAAATACATTGCACCTCTTTGACTACCTAGTCATTCTTATCCTGGCCTCTACTTCCCCTCTCATGGATCTGCTTGCTGCCTGCTCTTAAGCAATGCCTGGCCACTGATTTACACAATATGCTTTCTCATGAATAGTTTATGATGCTTACTTTCTTTAAAAAGTGTAGATTCAACATCGTTTTTTTTGATATATTTTTTTCGATTTTTTTTTTTTAAATACACAGTACACAGACACAACATGCATCAGGTTTAGGAGGAGGCTTTATACCTGTCAAGGCCCAGTTCCTATCTGCTAAGCTTAGTGGTTGATTTGCTTTTTCCTGTGGGAGTCTTAGGGTTTGGGGAATGGTGGAAGGAATTGCCAGATCCTTTCAGACCATTCTTGCTTGGTTTGTTGCAGCAGTGCTCTTGTTGGCAAGATCTCCTAGAAGATGAGGAGCCTGAATGGCTAGGAGGTGATTTACTCCTCCCAAGATGTGGGGATGAACTCCTCTGATCGTGATGGGGTCTCCCAGCCCGGGACGGAGAAGAACTGGCAGTACGGGGTAAAGAAGAGCTCCTAGGGGAGGCACTGGGACTGCGTCGGGGGATGACAGGGCTTTTGGGTGGTGTTTTTGGACTATGTGGAGATCCTGGACTCTTACACTGGGTAGTACTCCTTGGTCTTTGAGATCCATTCTGTAGGATTTGAGCCAGACGAGAGATAAGATCTGAGTCCGAGCTGCTGCTCCCTAGGACTCTGTATCTGCGTAACCTTAAGAAGAAATGAAGAAAGATTATTTCTGTTCCCATCTGTTCACTAAAGTTCATATAGAAACACAGTATCACTAGAAACTAGGGATAAGCTTGCATTTCAGAACAGACATCTGGAGCTGAACTTTCCTATAAGGTAGAGGTGTTTGGATCTAGGCTTTGGCTTCTATGTTGTTCAAACCAACACAGTATTTGTATTTGCATAAACTCACTCACATAAACAGCCTAAGTGTTTATAGGATAACTGAAATTTCCTGGTGGTGCTGGAAGAAGTGCACTGAAGAGCAGTGCTTATCGCCTCTGTTTCAGAGGGGCACATCCATTCCCTCCCACCATCAATATACTCCTACACACAATTTGAAGGGATGACAAGGCACACCACAACTTCCTTCAGAGGATTTCACACTACTGTATCAAAATTCTCCTTATCCTGGTAACGTAGACACTGAAGAAACTAGATCATGGTTGTCTGCATACAGAACTGGCAAAGGGGAGGCTTCTAGAATTCACTCTGCCCTCCTTTAATTAGTTGTTTTAACTTAGCCATGACCTGAGCGTAGCTAACTTACTCAGTACTGATGGCTGGAATCTCCAAACCCAAATATTTGAAATGGCTACAATAAGTACAGTTTAATTTTCAAAGGGGCTGGATATGACAGATCCTATTGATTTCTCTGGGTTTGTGAATAATGAACAGTTCCGGAAAAGTGATCCCACTTTAAAAAAAAAGTGTAAAGATTTAGTTATAGATTGACAGGTTTCAAAATATTGAATACGCATCTATTCATGTATAAGGTTCAATGGTGAAGCAGGCTCATTCTTGTGTAACAGACTCTCCTCATTCATTCTCCAACAATGTAAGTTCTCTCAGAGAACTGAAGCCCAGCATTTTTTAAAAATTAGTTAAAGGATGGAACTTCTACAGGATTACATATTGCATGGTAACTGCAGTCTAGCTCAAATCCATTTTCAACCTGAAAACTTATTTCTGTTTTCTTTGCATTACCTAGCTTCTACCCCAGGTCTAGTAGGCGGTTTTCCTGGTGGTGGCCGAGGAAAGAACCGAGCTGAACTTGAACTGGTGACTTGATCAGTGGTTGCCCAGGACACTGGCCTTGGAATCTTGCTTCTTCTGGACTGAGGGCTGCTTGGAGATACAGAGCTATCTTCCGTCTGCTTGCTGAAATGAGAGTCCAGTGTCAATCTAGAAAATGAGGATAAGACATCGTCCTCAGAAACCGGTACTGGAGCAGGAGCCATTTTTTCCTCCAGTGACTTATCAGAGGCACTTGAGAGGTCACCAAGGAAAGATTTGAGCTGTCTCTTTTCCATAAGTAGCCTGACCAAGTCTGTCTGATGGGCCTTTTTTAGAAGAAGCTTTTCCTTTGCTGAAACGGGAGAAGAGGACTCTGACGTTGAGTCTATCTCTTGTGCTAAAACTGGGATTCGGCTCTGCCTGAATACAAAAGGCGATTTAACTAAGTCCTTCTTAGATCGATGAGAATTCTCATTTTCTGAAATGCAGTGGAATAGCTCTCCATTTCTGGGAGCATTTTTCTCTCTTTTGTCCTCCTGGTGCAAAAAAGTAGTAAGGGCCACTTGGTGGCATTTCAAGTCTTGGATATGGACTTCTTCCTTATTAGAATGAAACCCATTTTCCTGAACTGGTGCCATTTTGCTTGCCTGTCTATTAACATGTGGTTTGGTAAGTCTTGAGGGAGAAAATTCTGACGTTTTATGTGCTATCGACTTCAGAACCTCATCTTGATTTGGCACCAGACAGACAGGCCTTGGCTTTGATTCTTCAGCAGCTTCAGTATTTGTTAGAGGTTCTTCCTCTGCAGATTTTGAGTTTCCTGGCAAAGAAGAATTCTGTTCTTTGCTTAGCATTTCAATGGCGTCATCAGAAACCACTGGAAGTCTTTCTTCCTCAGCCTCTTCTATGGGAACAATTTCAACTTCTTTCTCTTTCTGCGTCCCACTGTGTTGTTCAGGTAGATCCTTTTGGCCAGACTCTAGGAAGCTGACACATTCTTTGACAAGTCCTTCCCTGTCAAGCACCTCTTGGCTGATATTAAGTACTAAATCTGGTCTGCTGGCACTAGCTGGAAGTGCGTCTTCTGTCACAACCAAACCTGGCAAATTTTCCTTTGGAGAGAAAAGTTCCCCGGTGTGTTCCATAGACTGAACATCCTGCTCTCTTTTCTCCAGCTGGTGGCCATAATGAAAACTTTCTGAAGCAGACTGTGTGGATGCCACTGAAGGTCTGGGTATCGTTATCTGCATTGGAAAATTAGAGAAGGAAAAGGTGAGAAGCTCAGAAATGTTATACAGATAACATTCTTTAAATAGTGTTTTTGATTCCATGTCTTCAAGATACGTTATATAATGATTCCTATGAATCACTATGTTCAAATAATACCTAACTTCACAATTTACATCTAGATAATTAGAAGAAAAATACTTTATCATGCCAAGACAGAAATGTGTAACAGGTAAAAACAAACAAAATCTCAGTGAAAACTGTTGCAGTTACCAAGTAAACCTCCTGGAAATGAGATCCAGCCTAACAGGTAGGCTTTTTATTTATTGTACACTAGTTTGAATACTCTTAGAATAAGTTGTATATAAACGTAAAATCTTAAACAAGTACACAACAATATTTTTAGACAAGTACAGAAGACAACACAGTGAGGTCCAGATTCAGGAATGGATTTAAATTTGAATTTAGGCAGAATTTAGATATTTTGTTAACAAAACAATTAATAAACCCCCCCTTTATTTACCTAATTGAATACATCCATGCCCACAATGCGTACATTTTTGTCCAGAAAAACTTTCCCGAGTACCCAAATTTTAGCTATTACTTTTCCTCTAGATGCTTATGCCTCATTTTAACTAAGCAACCTGGTTAGGACATCTCCTTACCTAAGGTCATTAGGAGATTCATAAACTAAATATTCACACATCTAAATCCCCCAAGAGGTCTAATCCAATAAATATGCTTAAAGCACTCCTAAAACCTATATATAGTATTGAGTCAGAGTGCCTTTGAAAAACAGTTGGTTATGATGAGTGGCTGCCTCTAGTACGTAGCTTAATTGTTAGAGCACATGTCCAGGAATTGGGAAACCTGCATTCAGGTCTCTCCCCACCCAAGGGACACAAGCCCGCTTCCCCCAGTTCCCATCAAGCATGAACAAAACCAGAACGGAGTTGCTCCTCTCCTTCCCCCTTGAAGTCAGGCCACTGTACGGACAGAAATGCAAGAATCAGGAGGTCAGAGGGTGAGAGAGCAGATGCAAAAGTGAGAGGAGTTTTACCTCTATGGCCAAGGGAGGAACACACTGTCATGTGAAGAGGATTCCTAGATTCTGGCTTATACATACCGGATTGGTATAAACAGTAAAAAAATCAAGGGGCTATCCTTACATTTTTCTCTACATGGACAGAGAGCTCAGCTCCTTTCTTCCTTGTATTCTTTAGCCTCATGAATCTGACACAGTTTGAGTTTGTAATACTCTACAGAAAGTGGAAGGCTGGAGTCTAGGTTTGGACATAGACTTGCTTGATGCACTGATGGTGGAAGAGACAACTAGCAGTAGCCTATTTCCAGTGTTGCCAAGATTCTGCTCTGTTACAAGACAGATTTCACTTGACCTTGCTGCAGAAATTATACATGCTGCTGAGCTTAATGGGCTTTAGCAAGAGCTAGTCCATTGGTACTATCTGGTGGTAGAAACCAATCTCATCTGTCAGGACCCATAACAGTTTATGCTGTATACTCAAACTTTACAAATGCAGAACAACTCTCCAAAATAAGAAATGGGAACTGACAGTGCAGGAGATATACTCAGAGTTCCCACGAAAGCGTAATAACTTCATTTAAATTCTTGCTGATTTTTTTTTTTGCGTTTTCTTCATAGTCCTGTATAATGAAATTTCCATCATTATGGGTGCACATTTACCTCCATGAAACACAGACATTCAACTCGTATTATAAACAGTTCACTAGAACAAGACATCAAATACAAATCACAGGCATAAAGCTGAATTAAAGAGAGGACAATTATTTATGTTAAATTATTTCTATACTATAAAATCTATTCTGAACCTCTCTAATTTATCTAATGCAGTTTTTGGACCTTAACCTAAAAATGGGGAGTCATAATTTTGAGAAATTTGGAATAAAATTTGGAGAAAAATATTTTCTTATAATTTTTATAAGTAGCATTAGCTGTTAGGCTATAGAAAGTGGTATTTTTCACCCGGGGGGGAATGAAAGAACAGAAACGTAAGATAATTGAACTCTTGTTTTCCCAAGCAGACCTAAGCTGTCTGTAGCATCTTCCCCAAGTTGAGATTTACTGAAATGGGGGAGGACACACCAAACCAAACCAAACCAACCCAACCAGAGACCTGCAGCAAGAAGCTACTTTTTGTCTCCCTGATAATGTTTTTCAGGTTTGGGCCCATACAGTCCCTTCATGTCTGCTGAATTACAATGGTGTATTAGGAAACAAACTGAAGTTACTTAGTTTCTGCAAAACAGTCCTCCTCATCTCCTCTCACTCTCAGTCTGGGTTCTTTCCTCTGAAAACGAAAGAACTTCCCTTTTGAGTTAGAGAAGTCTTTCTTACTTCAAAAGCTTTCTCATGAGAGAATCCAAGTACATTAGTTCAGCTACAGAAAGAACAGAGGAAATAACAGAATATTTTTAAAAAGCAGTTTTCCATTATTAGGTCAATTAGTGCCTAATTCTTGAGTGTTAAAAAAAAATAGTTTAGCAAGAGCTCTGAACAGAAAGGAATAGGGATAAAACTGGAGAAAAAAATAAGAAAAAAGGTCTAGGAAACAGGGCAGCTATTCCATAGGTTTCCATACATCTCTAGGATGTTGCTTGAGGGCAACATATCTCCAGGTATCATACACTGCTTTCATATGACAGAGGAACATATTTTGGCCTATCACACAAAAATCATCAGATCTCTTAGAAATTCTCAACTACAATCTGGGTAAAAGTGGGTTCAGGAAATTTTAACGCAATATTGTCCTTGAAATAGTATCTTCAGATTTTGGAGAGATCACTTGGGCATGTGCTGTGCACTCAGTTCCGTCTCCAGCTTCTTTCAAAACCTTGTGCTGCAGGGCTGCAGACAGCATCTCCAAAGTAAAGAAAACTGGTAAAATATTTCCTTTTCTGAACTTTTCACATGATGAACTAGACTGGTTGCTAATTCAAATAACCCAGGAATCAAAAAACCAGAGTTGTCTTCCACATATCTGAAGAAGGATGGCTTTCCTTAGAATAGAATGGTTCTGGTGTCCTCTCAATTTTCAGAGGTAAGACAACCTTAGTTATTTGCTTTTAGGAGGATATTTGTCATCTTGGTACATTTCCTGAAGGGCTGCAATTGCATTTAAAGCCTCCCTTGTTCAAATATATTTACATGGAAACTGTATTTTCCTTGTGACTTCTGTCTCATATATGAATTCTTTGTTACATGAAATCAGCTCTGATCTGAAATTTATCCAGATTTTTCAACAGACTTCATATCCTTTGCCATGTCTGGAGACAGAATTTCCTAGTCTTTCAGGTCTATCTTGGCCAACCCAGATTTAACACTTACACCCAAGAAACAGAAGAGTAAGCTCATTGAACAACCTACAACAGAACAGGCAGGAGCTGTTTAGGAAAGAAAAGGATACTGGATGACTAAGTATCAAAAGAGTCAGTACTACTGAGTAGTTCAGTTTCAGAAATGGCTTTTTGAACACACACATCACTTCCTTGATTTGTGTTCCCTAACAAACAAAAGTTTGTTTTCTCAGATGGTCAATAAACCTATTATTAGACATCTTAAAGCACAAGAATTAAATTATATCCCCCTCAGGCTTGACATTTCACCTATACGTGCAAGAAATTTAAATGGGTAATCGTGCAGAAGTGGCTTTCATGCAAGGGTTGCCAAAATTCCAGGTGCAGCTTTAATAAAAAAGCAAAAGAGGAAGACCAGTTTTTTAAAAAACTGGGAATGTGTATGAGAAAACAGAACTCATATAGAATTGAACCCTGTTAAATCATAAAATCAGGGACCTTAAAGATCATCTAGTTCCAACCCCCCTGCCATGGGCAGGGATACAAGTGCTTTCATTCGGAAGAACTCGGATGTAACAATCAATTATTGAAGAAATGGAAGAAACTTGTAGACAATCCTTGTAAGCATAATCCTTCTAAGTTTTTCGGGGGGTAAAGCATCAGCTTCTTTACAAGGCCAGCCACTACAGATAAATTCACGATTCACACTATGCAGGATTCTAAGTAAAAAGCCCAGAGGAAGTTTTGAAACCCCTAAAACAATTAAAAAAAATTAAGTATATATAATCCTGTAGCCTTAATTATCCCATAAAGGGTCTTCTCACTCTCTTGTTTATGAAACCTTGCAAGACAGAAGTCATAATCAAGGAGTCTGAGGAGGGCTCATCTTGAAATGTGCAAAATACACCAATTTAAATTGTCACTTGGTCTAATTCAGGGAGACAGAAATCTCAAGGCCGTTCAATACATATCTAGTTACAAACCAAACAATACATAGCCTCATATGTAACATTAAAAAAACCCCATCATAATCGTAAATAATTCTCATACTTTCTTTTCTTCTGCCACTAATTAAAACCTAATCCTATGAGATTTCTATGGCTATTCATGTCAATTTTGTAAAACACCGAACCTGAGGAACAAAGATTACAATGTGATGTGGGCAATTCAACTAAGAAGAAAAATGTGGGGAATAGAATTTGAAATGCTGCCTCTCCGCTCAGTATGATAATCAGTTTATAACACTATCTACCCGATTATCGCAATTCCCATACTTCAACGGAAGTTATGTGATACAGGAGATTACTGAAAATGGCTGTGACAATATATGGAACAATGAATTTGAGGTTCTCCTTTCACTCCGAAATATTTGAATGAAATTGCTACCACCACGGTCTTGAATCCTTTGGCCATCCCTAATTAATTTCTTAATTCCTTTCTGATTTCTCAAATTAGCACTTGGCTGAGACAAGAAATTAGACTGCATTTTCTTCAAGAAACTTTACAAGATGGTGAGTGGGATGTTAAGAAGGAAAAAGAACAAAACAACAACAACATAAATATCTCTTGGACAGCCTTTATGACATCTGATGAACTTTCCTCCCTTTAAACCTTTGACAGGCTGCAATAGCAAGTGATATGATTGGATGAAATCCTCTGTGAACGCATACAGCAGATTGCA